AGTAAAATACTTAAGTTCTTTTAAAATTGGATACTTTACGACTTTTACTCAAGTCTTATTGGAATTGGTGACTTGTAACTTGTAATGGAGTAATTTATACAGTAAGGTATCTGTACTCTTACTCAAGTATGGTTTTCAGGTACTCTTTACACCTCTGGTGTGCAAATGGTGACCTTTAAGAGATCAATCTGTGTGTTCAGGTATGTGTGTTCATATAAAATCATTGTGGCTACAGGTGCATACAGTCTTTAAAAAGAGGCCAAGGGCTCTCATGGACACACAATTCCAGCAAAGGTTTTAACTTCTAAAAACAATTATTTCTAGATTTTGAAATGGTTCCTCATTTAGAACCTCAGTGTTGTTCCCTATGATCACTAAAAAGATCTGTTTTAAAAGTATGTAAAGAAAATCAAGGAAATTGGATAAATATTATGGGAATGTTATGGAAAAGTTTGAGAAATTAATGTATCGAAACCCTGGAGAGCACTCTTTTTCTTGAGCCTGTAGCACACTTCATCGCTCCTCTGGTATTGTCCTGTGCTCTCCTCAGCCTCTGAATATTATCACAGGGATGTTTGTTGTATCTCTGTGTTTAACCTTGATTGTGTGGGAAATGGTGATGGGATTGGCAACATCATGCACTCATGACTGTGATGAAAGGAATAGAAGGACTGTGATGGGCAACTCTAGAAGACAGTGTGAAACAAAAAATGCTGTCTCTGCTGTCACGTACTAATGTGCATGGGAAACCCTGGACACACTAACTGGTGTTTTTTGTTTTTCTTATACACTTTTGACAAGTTGATTTTGGAATGTCTGTTTTTTTTTGCAGGGTTTAGTTGTCAGATTCTTAAAATATTAGTGTTTTAACAGTAAAAGATAAGATTTGGTGAATAACAATACCTCATGTTATAAAACTGATACTAATTACATTTTCTTATTCTTTCCTAACAGACAGTGAAGTGAGACCATGACAACTCAATCTATTCTCAGTTATCCTTGGACCAGGCAGTAGTCAGAGGGTCAGGTTTCCTGCTGGTCTGCCATCAACTGTGGCTGAACTGGAGACTGAGATAAAGACTCAGTGTAAAATAATGCAACCCTTCCGACTGCAGTTCGTGGACTCGCTTTTGGCGACGAATTTATGAACTTAACTTCAATGGATGAAATACAAGATAAAGCAACACTCACAGTTGTATACATATCCTGCCAACCTCAAGAACAAGGTGAACACAGTTTCTCCTTTCCATCAACCAGTGCTCCTGATGACACCTCATCCTGTTCTAGTGACGCACTGTGATTCTTTCATCTTCAGAGTCTACGTCGTCACGGGCTTCATGGCCAGATTTGTTCCATGTTCCCCATTTCACATATGATGCAAAAATTAAGCTTGAGAAGGCCAACGTAGCTTTCCAAAAAATGGGATGCTGTTGATCCCTGATCCAAAACTGAAGTCTGACATATTAGAGGGGTTGATCCAGGAGGTAGTCAAGCACACAGTCTACCTCACAGACAGTAAGTTTGATGAAGTTGCAGAGGCACTCATCCTGAAGCATCCATGTTTAAAAGAAAAAGGTTCACCCACTGGCTATGGAGGATGGAAAATGAGCTTCAAATACAAGTTGTCAAATTACTGCACACATCTCCGGAAAATAGGATGTCCTGAAGTATGTGTGAATTCTTTGAAATATAAACCAGCTGATAAACGTTCCCCTGCTTTTGAGGTTAAGAGACCAAAAAGGGGTGAAGTGGAATACTGCCCCTCTTTTCCATTAGGAGAATGTGCTCAGTCCCTGGAGAAGATGAGGATCGAACTCCTTTCAGATGTCAAGAAGCGCAACAACAGAGAGACAATTAGGGCTAAAATGGACAGAACATTTGCATTAAGAATACAAGAAGTCATTTCTAATGCTCCCATGATCAGCAATGTACAAGAGAGATGGCCAGCTCTTTTTGATGCAATGGAGGTAATTTAAAAAATGATGCCCTGACTTGTGTCATAGATAATGTGGTCACGTGTAAAAGTAATGCTCGACTTCATTAGGATGTGCTTCCAAATATTCCATAGCAGAGCCCAGATGACTAACCATGCACAGTACATGCCATGATATGACAGGCAGGTGTAGTTTTGATGTTCGATATGTCTCCTAAAATCTGTGGGCTGTGCTGTACATTAAAAATTATTTCATGTCATTTCAGATAAACGCGGAATTCAAGCGCATCACAACCATGCCTCTACAATCAAGGTTTCTGTCACAGCTTGACCTTCTCTCTGAAAGTCAGCTGAGAGTGTTTGCAAAGCGATCGGGGGAGCAGGGCAAAAAGCTGAAAGACATAGCTGCCATGATGACAGTAAGAACTTTTAAATTGTTTAACTATAATGTGTATATCCATTGCATTAGGACAGTAAAAGATGTACTATATATGCATCCATTGCAAAGCTCAACTTCCTTTACCTGTAAGGTAATTACACTGTCCCACTGTGAGAAATGTATATTTTTTATGTCATCTTTGGAGATGATATAAAGGTCAGGTCCAAACAGATAGTGTTGTTTTGTACACGCTGATGTCACATGCTAACTGGTTAAAAAAAGTCAGTGTTTGTATTCAATCATTTTCCTCTGCAGCTACTGAAAATTTGGGTTAAAATATCTCTCTTTTCTTCTTCAGGATGACATTGATGTTGGAAGGGAGTACCTCATAAGAGGACTATGCATCTATCTGAATGAGAATCCCAACGTCTTGGTGCAGGAGTACATGGTGAGTGTTTTGTGAGTAGATTGTGGCTTCGCTACATTTCAAAACATACTCCGTTAACTTTGTGATCCTACTTGGACTGTTTAGGTCCATTTGTCCTCTTTATTACTTTGGCACAGATTCCAGTGCTGAGATTAAAACAAAAAGTTACAGTTGTCACACAAATGGTCCAAACAGTCTGCTTTTTCTCCATAGCCCCCCATTATGAAAGTGAAAAATCATTTTGACCCCTCTGCCACAGAGTGAAAAAATATTGTTTCTCTTACATTTGGGGTTACACTAGTGTGAAAACACTTCAAATTTCTGATTATAGTGAAAGAAGGAAAATTCCACCATCTTCACACACTGCGCTGACCCTCATCTGACAAGGGCAGAATTGGGACTAGGATATAACAAGTCCAGGTTAATGATAAAAACCATCCAGGAACATAAAAACAATTTCTAGAAAAAATGAGGAGGAGAATACTGTCTTTACATTTACATTACATTGCTGCCCAGATGATGGCCTGGGGCTACCTGGTGACTCCAGATGCAGCCTGCTTTTTCCAATAAATCTTCTGAGTGGCATAACCTGGCTTCTGGTGGGTCAATGTCTTTCAAACAAAAACTAATGTAAAGCTTGAAGTCTCCTCTTCATTTGATCTGGAAGTTATGCGTCTGTTTTTTTTTTTTGGGGGGGGGGGTCCTCTCCGAAATTGACCATGAATGGCAGCATGGCAAGGCATTCTTTGGCTGCAGTAATCTGCTATGCTGTTTACATGGGTTTAAATAAACTATAGCATTAGAATTGCCTCGTTCAAAAGTGATCTGTGTTTTCTTTAGTTTTTTTATTTTATTAAAGCTTCAAAAAATGTTTTATTTTTAACCAGGACATGACTGAGGCCACTGCACTGAGTGCCACTGAGAAAACAACAGTGGGAATCTGTCACCAGAGAGATGCTAGGCAATGACTTTTCTGATGTTGGCATCATCATCGAGGGTGAGTTGGTGCTTCAAGATTTGGATAATGTGGCCATTGCAACGGCCATGCTGTTTGGACTTTTTTTACTCCTTGAACATGAGGTATCCACCACAGCTCTGCTACACTTTTGAGGTGAGTTGGATGTGACTCAACTCTCGAGAAAAGCCCGAAGCTTGAAGGTAAAACTGCTCCAATAAGGAGAACTCACTGTTGTTGTGCACGTGAGGCCCACAATAAATAATAGCGTCCATTGTTAAGTCCACCAACAAAAAACAAAGTGTCAGTCATTTTATACTTCTGCTTCACCAATTGTTTACTCCTTTACTGCCATGTCGACGGGGCCAGTTTTTTTTTCCCCTCTTCCTCTCTGTTAAAGGTTCTCTGATTGGCAGCATTATTCAATTTTAGTTTATGTTTGTCTTTGCAAGTGAAGAGATGGAGAACTGTACACAGTCTAAATAGTCCCATCAGGGCCATATGAAACGGGATGTTTAGTTTAATTCAGTTGGATTAAAGAATTTTGAATGCTGCTAAGAATGTTGGAATTTTATGACTGACAGTGTTGGAATTTTTTACACTCACAGTATTGCTGTTCACTGTTTATCCTTGAATAAAGGTTTTGACATGCAACTGTTTATTTTTATTATTAATTGGGGTAAAAATTGGTAATGGTAATGATTAAGAGAGTTAATAGAAAGGTATTAGACATTAAAATAAATTATTGTTGGAATCGCAATGGTAACTAACGTTTCTGCATTTCAAATGAGTTCTACAGTTACATCGAATTGTTTACAATTACAATTGTTATTTAATTCATTCTTCAGAATAGAGGCCTTGAACAGAATGTTTGTATTGTTCTCTTCCAAAATGGTTGCTACACCTGCCTGTCAAAAGAAAAGGTCTAATTTCTATGCTGTGACTGAGTCGATAAAACACTGAAAAACTGACATTACTTATTCACTGTTGATTTGTATTACACTAGAACAATAATGTCAGTTCAGTTCTTTACCTTCTGTCACTGCAGTGAAATTAGACATTTTGTTTTGAAAGGTTACTAGTGGTTACAGGCAACCATCTTGGAAGAGAACAATACAAACAATTTGTTTTAAGGCCTCCATTGTAAAATTGTGTAATTGACACTCGAATATAATATTAACATGTAATATGAAAATAACATGTAGTATTTAAGTGACCAAATAGTATTGGAGGAAAAGTTATTGAATAGTGTTGGAATAAAGTGATAAAATCGAGAAGGATTAAAATGTTCCAAGAGCTCAAATTACTTTAACAAAACATGTTTCAATCACACTGTATCAACAGAAAATACACAGGTTTATTGAATATGAATGACTTGTGTTAATTTAACTCAGTTGTTCAAGTTTCTGCCAAAGCAAAACATCTCTGTGCAACCACTGTCCACTACTGAATTAAGTAAATCCAACATGTTCTCTTTTTCCATGCAGCTGGGGTGCTTCTTTGGTACTTTGGGGTGGAACTTGAAATGCTTTCTTTGACGATAGGTTATGCAAATAGCCTGCTTCTGAAATACAACACAAATGCCGCCTTGTAAACAGTTGCAAACTCAGAAAATAATGATGCAAAACTTTAACCCCTGCAATATAATGTACAGTAGGCCCTTGTGCATTCGCGCTTCGTGATTCGTGAATTCACAGATCTGTGAAAATTTCATTGGAACCGAACTTATTGGCATCCACGATTTTTTTACACATTTGCAAAATCCTCGAAAAACCCTACAGATGTGTTTATGTTTAATTTTCATAGTAATTTATATGTTTTCATGCTTTTAAGTGTAAAATTGGTAAGAAATATTTAGTCAGTGAAGAATCTACTGTTTTTTTGGGGAAAGTTCAAGACAAAACATAAATCAGTTAAAAAATCCCTTAACTGTACCTTTACAAGATGTGAATCCCATTAAGTTTATTCCCTTTGGAACGCTAATGGTTACATAAATATTAGAAAATAGTTAATTTACTATTTCGCAATAGTAAGTACATGTTAATGTAAATTCAAACCCAAACGCTCTCACAAATCCCCACATGAAGAGGGAAATTCTGAGGAGCTGTAACTCCTCATGTACACTATGCAGTCATTTTCATATTTTCACCATACTGCACAGCTAATTCATAATCATCATTATTTTAAATCAATATTCATCATTTGTGAGTACCAATACTACTGTTTTTTATTAAATATTTTTAATGTTTGCATGTATTTTTGTTCTCTCTCAATCTTTTGTGGTTAGCGCACACATTTTACAGTCCTGTTCCTTTACTCATTTTACTTTACTGTGAATGCAAAAGAAGATGGCAGCCAATGCCGTGTTCTATGAATTAGTAAGGGTAGCATTAGTATGCTGTACTGTAAATGTGCTAGTGTGACAAATATCTGTTAGGCTATACTGTACACTTTTTACATCAAACATTTGTTTTTTTAAAGGCAATGTATTAAGCTAACTTTTAAATTAAAGTGTTTTGGGAGCATATTTAGGGTTTAAACTATAGAAATAAGTACATATTAAAATTTTTAGTGACTACCAAACATCCGCGAATCATCCTCATTCGTAACAGGTTCTGGAACATAACTTCACGAATGTTCGAGGTCTTACTGTGCATACAGAATTGAAAGTAAGAAAAAGTCTTATTTTAATATAGCTGACTAGCAATAAAAGAGTTGGATGTGCATTACATGCGATGTTGGTATTAATATTTCATGTCATCCAGCCCTATAACATACTCTAGTCATTTTTTGAATTCAGCACCGGTACCAGTTTTTACATTAGTGGAAAACCAACACCTTGCGTTTCTTGAAGTACCAAAAGTTCGGTACCTGGTGCAGTTAGACAAGATACCTAGTTAACATGTCTTCTGATAGCTGCTACAGCCCATGCTACTTTTAGCCCCAATTGTTGGATTTCCGCTCAAAAAAAAATACTCTTGCGTTAACTGTATCAAACAATATGAAAACTAAGGGGTATACTATGAAGTGAGATTAACATGCACCCTGCAAAACCTATTCAGTATGTGGCCAGGAAAATGACAAAGGTGTTAACATATTTTAGAATGACATCCTTACTCATTTATAATTACACCATTCAATGTGCCGAATAAACAGACTAATAACTGTAAAGCTACATGAGATATCTCCAGCCAAGTGTCGTTTAATTAATTATTTTTTTTATTTAACCTTTATTGTCCCTTATGGGGAAATTCTTTTTACGCCTCCATCAACTTGCTCTTTGTAGAACAAGCTGTCTGCGAAGGGCAGCCACCTGTTGGGGCGCCCAGAGAGCTGGGGGTTAAGGGCCTTGCCGCAGACATGCTGAGACTGGGTTTGAACCGGCAACCTTGTGATTACAAGCACACAGGCTTAGCCCACTGAGCCACACGCAGCCAAGGATAATGGGGGACTGTATAAGATGTTTCAAGGGCTTAATTGTTTCAACTCAAATTTAATGCCTGTGGGACACCCTGTAAATACCACCAGTTCTGCTTTGTCCTTAATCCTCCATAAATACTTGGAGAGAAATAATATGTAATTTCCCTAAGATTGCTACAGTTTGGGACAGTCCCACACAGACTGTGCATTCGCGCCTTCTCATGTAAAGTGCACACAGAACTGTTAGTACTTCTACGGTCAAGCACACATGATTCACGTGTGAGGAGTAAAGGATAATATTGTCAAGGTATTGGAGACGCTGGCTGTCTAAAACATCTTTCAACTCTTTTATCAGCAGGTAATCAGGTATCAAGAAAAAGTATTAATGTCTAACACAAAAGTATAATAAACAGTTATCACAGTTGCAAAATGTTTCTGTTTTACAATGAATTATACAGTTTGCACCATCTATTACAAAAAAAATAATAAAAATAGGAGTCTGGCTCAAATACATTTATTTCCTACTCCACTTTATAAATAACTTGGTAGATTTCAAAATTTACTTTGGTACAGTATGTGGATTCTTTGTGTGTTATTCTGTTGTGGTCCAGTGGCTCAATATGGCAATCTAGCATTTTTTTTATGGTTTCAGGTGGAGTTTTTCCTTCAGAACGTGGCCAAGTGTGGCGTTTCCTGTTTGATGTCTACCCCTGTGGTTCCACCATGTCAGAGCGCTCTTTGCTGCATGAACAGTTAGCTGTGAGATATCACGTTATGAAGAGGAAATGGCAACAGCTACTTCCGGCTGCTGTGTGCATGCGTCTCAATGGCACAGACGGTACTCCAGAAGCTTCTCCTTGTTTTATGTCTCTGCTAGTGTACCTAGTAGGTTGTACCAAGGAACTGTCTTCCCCCAGTTATTCACTCATGCATGGTGTATAATGGAGCCATTGACGCAAAGAGTCAGGTTAGAAATTCCTTTATAGATCAGAATAGTGATACTTTATTCATCCCTGTGGGAAACAGTCTTTTCACCCATGTTGCTCTCCATGAGACTCATAGACATGTACAGGTAAGAACAAGCTTGGGGATCATAGGGCAAGGTCAGCCAGCACCCATCACCTCTGGAACAGTTGCAATTAAGGGTATTGGTCAAGGGCTCAATGGAGGTCACAGGATTTAAATCGGCAATCTTCTTACAAGCAGTGCCGCTGTAGTGGATTGTTGGGGTGGCAGGAGTACTCTAACTAGAGTTTTTGGGCAATATAAGGGGGTATGGGGTTTCATTGCTGTAGACATTGAAATTGAGACGCCTGTGCCGGCCCATCAAATAAGTATCACTATAAATATGACTGACAGCAAGTTAAGGGATGCATGCCTTTGTCTTTAATGCCTCTCTGCACAGTGCAGCATGTCTACAAAGGTGTCTGATCATATGCTGGTCACCAATGCTGGTTCCTCCTTTTAGCTGAGCTGGTGGCAGCCGTGAGGTACTTCGAACAGAGGAAAGAAAAGGTGAAACAGCAGTGTGAAAATCAGAGCCAAGAGCTCAGGGAAATACTCTCCTTTCTGGAGCTACAGGCACAGGTAAAACTAGCAACTACAAATTTGACGCCTTTCTTATGCTGGTCTGGTTTTTTCTATGCCTATTGTTTGCCTTTTCTTCTAATGTCAAGAGTGTCAAGGTACATTCACTGACAAAAAAAGTTAAGCACCCAGAAGTAATGGTCCGCTTTGGATGTAATTTGTTACACGTGCAGACCAGCGAAGGGTATGTAAATGATTCGATTTGAAAGGAGCTGGCACACAGAGGTTGCCTCGTAGACACATTATACAGCATTACCAGCACTTGACAGAGTTTGATAGGGGTCGCATTGTGGGTTTGTATTAGGCCAGGTAGTTGTGCAATTTCCCGGCCTGTGAGGCATTCAGATTTCACAGTCGTCCAATGTTGGAACCAATGGGCACGTGAGGCCACCCACACACATTGTGAAGGTTTCGGTCACCCAAGACAGACCACACCAAGGGAGGATTGTCGTATTGTGCGCCAAGCATTACAGAACCCCATGACATCTGCGCCTGCCATCCGGACACAGGTATTTGACTTAACACCCCATGTCATCCCGCACCTAGTCTCGACAACTGGCATCAGCCAGACTACAAGTTCACCATGCCATGCGTGGGCTGCTGTCAACACCAGCACAGAGATGGCTGCATTTGGAGTGGTGCCGTAACCAGGAGGCATGGACTGATGACGAGTGGAATCGTACCATGCTCAATGATGAATCTCAAGTTCTGCATTGCCATGGATGACTGTCGTGTCTGTGCGTATGATTGTACTGAGGGGAAAGGACTTCAGGTCATCTCTGGTTGTGATTCGCCGGACGCTGACGGCACAGCACTACGTCAGTGACATCCTGCATCCGCATGTCTGACCCCTCCAGAGACAGCACCCTGGTACAGTCTTTCAGCAAGACAATGCACATCTACACACGGAACGTGTGTATATGGACTGCCTGTGTTATGTTGAGGTCCTCCTGTAGCCAGCCAGGTCTTCTGATCTTTCCCCAATCAAACAAGTGTGGGATCAGCTTGGATGTTAACTCAGACCCAGTGCCAGTTTGCAGTATCTTGAGGGCCGACTTGCAGCAAGAGAGGATACAACGGCTGTACGACTCCCTTCTGCACCGTATAGCCACATGTATCCAGGCCCATAGGAGTGCCACACTCTACTGACACACCAGCAGTGTACCCATACTGCCAACTATGTTGTTAATTTGATCTGATATTATAATCATTGTGATACAGTCACATGACCTTTCACCACATGCAGATTTATTTAATTTCCACCACTACGTCTGGGTGCTTACCTTTTTTTATCACTGAGTATATTTTGCTGACAGAGTAAGTGAGCTAGACAGGTAATGATATGTAAAATATTTAAATTAAATTACTTGGCATTATTGCATAATAATAATAGTAATAATTATTATTATCATTGTCACGCTTCGGCAGGCAGGTGAGCAGGGAAGCAGGCGAGAGCAGCCAGGAAGTCCGGTAAAGGGGTTTTATTGGGCACACGACGAACAGGCACGGACATCCACGGACAATACAATGACGGATCTGGGGAAGACTGACTCAGACGAGGACTAAATACAAAAGACAAGCTAGACATAACAGGACTCAGGTGATCACAATCAGGGCTGAACACGAGGTAACGAGGTGGGCGTGGCACACATCAGGAGCGGACGGAGCGGATCATGACAGAACCCCCCCCCCCCAAAGGCGACGGACGAGACGAGACCGGGGAACAGGACCTGAAAGACAAAACCAAAAACCATCAACGAAGAACAGGGAACAAGACAGAGACACAAAACAAAAACAGGGACGAGAAAAAGGACAAGACCCGACAAAGCACAGGAGACGCGGACAGACAGACAGAGAAGGGAGACACAGAGGGCACAGAAGGAACACCCACAGGCGACACGAAGGGGCCAGGGGTGAACAGAGGAGGAACACAGGGACGAGGAGTAAACACAGGCGGGACGAAGGGAAAGGGAGGAGGAAGAAGGGGAGCCCGAAGGAACCCAGACGGGCGACGGGCAGCAGCCTGAGGGAGGAGGGAGCAGGAGGGGACCACCCAGGGGCCAAGGGAACGGGACGAGGGAGTGACGGAGGGGACATGGAGGGAGCAGGAGGGAACACCAGTGCAGGGAGGCAGGAGGGGGAAGCCGCAGCAGGCGGAGGCGGAGCCGGAGCAGGGGGGCCCGGAGGCGGCCGACACGGAGGCGGGACCGAGGACCGGCACCGAGGATCCAGGGGGGGACCCGGCGGAGACCGCCGACCCCGAGGCGCAGGACCCGCAGGCAGCCACCGAGCCACAGCCAGGGGCCGAACGGGCGAGCCAGGGGGCAGGGCGGGCGGGACCCGATGCTTGTGTCCCCGTCCCTTACGGCACACTGACAGGCGGGGTCCTGGGGGGCATTGGCCTTGCCGGGGTAAGGGCGAGGGAGTCAGGGCCTCTAATGAGGCAACAGGCGTGGCAGCCAGAGCCGCGGGCGAGGCAACAGGCGGGGCCGCCAGAGCCACAGGCGGGCAGGATGGGAGAGGCGGCCTCAGGCAGGGCCGCGGGCAGGGCCGCCATTACTTGGCCAATGGGGGGGCGCCTCAGTCACTTGGCCAGCAGGGGGCGCCTCAGTCACTTGGCCAGCAGGGGGCGCCTCAGCGGGCACCACCATCATGCGGCCAGCAGGGGGCGCCGCAGCGGACGCTGCCAGCAGGGGGCGCAACCGCGGCCACCTCGGGCAGTTCAGGCGCCGGCAGGACAGGCGAGACAGGCAGATCAGGCGCCGGCAGGACAGGCGAGACAGGCAGATCAGGCGCCGGCAGGACAGGAGAGACAGGCAGGTCAGAAGGGAGCGCCTCGGCGGGTGCATCTGGCGTGCGGCCAGCAGGGGGCGCCCTGGTGGGCGCCGCCGGCACGTGGCCAGCAGGGGGCGGAGGCGAAGCCGGGACCTTGGGCAGAGCTGTAACGGGCATCCTCAGTTCCTGGCCAGCAGGGGGCGCCGCCTCGGCCACCTCGGGCATTGCCGTAGGCAGAGCGGTGGCAGCTGCAGGGACTGCATGCGGGTCAGGCAGGACAGGAGGGTCAGGCAGGACAGGCGAGTCAGGCAGGACAGGCGGGTCAGGCAGGACAGGCGGGTCAGGCGGTGCCGCGGGCAGAGCAGCGGCAGCAGCAGCAGGCGGGTCCGGCACGGGCGGCAGGAGGGGCGCCGAGCGACTAAGCGCTGCCCCTTTAAGGGCTCTCGGGACCCGAGGAATAGCGTCCCACACGGCGCGTATCCCGCCTAGACCCAGGTGCGCCAGCCGGTAAAAGTAAGCCTCCATCGGAGGTGACTTCTCCGGGTGGGGGCTGGTCAGGCTGGTAGTGGCGGGGTCATCCCAGGCGGAGAGCAAAGAGCACGCTCCCAGGGAGAGCGTCGGGGCGGCTTCTTCCCCTTTGCCCCTTCGTCTCCTCTTTTTCCGCCTTCCGGGACCGGTAGGTGGGGGCGGAGTTACCTCTGCGTCGGCGAGCGGCTGGAGCCGCTTCTCCCTTACCCGGCTAACGAGCTGTGTCAGGAGGGAGTGCACTTCCGCCATGTTGCGCTCCTCGGTGCGTGGGTTCACTCCCTGGAGGAGCTCCTCGCTCCGTTCGACCAGAGCGTATAAGCCGGGGTCCTCCTGGATCTCCGGCAACTCTCGCCAAAACGCGACTTCATGCAGCAGGACGAGCCAGAGGTCCTCGCCCTGCTGCGTTGTGTTGTTGGAGAGATCTGTCATTCTGTCACGCTTCGGCAGGCAGGTGAGCAGGGAAGCAGGCGAGAGCAGCCAGGAAGTCCGGTAAAGGGGTTTTATTGGGCACACGACGAACAGGCATGGACATCCACGGACAATACAATGACGGATCTGGGGAAGACTGACTCAGACGAGGACTAAATACAAAAGACAAGCTAGACATAACAGGACTCAGGTGATCACAATCAGGGCTGAACACGAGGTAACGAGGTGGGCGTGGCACACATCAGGAGCGGATCATATCAATCATTATCCTTTGGGATCTTTTTGTTTGAAATATTGCATTTTTTATTGAGCCGTTATTTCACAAAATATACGTATCCTGTTGTGTTTTGGTCTTGATCTTGACTTGATTCTAATGTGGCTCAGCCAACTGAATGTCAAGTGATATTTTGAACAAAATTTTCATCAATGAACTGCAAAAAATTGATTATGAAATATGATATTCATTATGTTGTGTTCCAGTATTTTTCCTCATAAAATATTAATATTAATCCATTTGAAAGGCTAATTTCCAAAACTATTTTTTGATGTGTTAGCAGACACCCTGCAATGGGCTGGTGACAATTGCTATATATAATGTCTAAATATTATGTTTTATAATATTTAAAGGAGTAATAGATTAATCATCAATTTAATCAGTGAACTCGATTATTAATATATTCAATAGTGACAATCTTAATGTAATCCAAGGAAGTATGGAATGAGTATGGAATGAGTGAGTTTTGGAAATATGTTCCTTCGCATACACATACATTCAGTCTTCTGGTTTTTTTTTGGAGAAGGGAAACAAGTTATCTAATATGATACTTGGATCAGTATATACCTTTAGGAAAGCTTACCATAACTGTGTCTCTTGCTTCCTGGCTCAGGTGATGCTGGAGCGTGTCTCCTTTGATTTGGAGGAGCTTCAAGAAGCTGTACGCATCATTGACAAAGATGTTCCTCGCACAGACAGGAACCTTGATTACTACCTGTAAGTGTCATCAATTCCATCTTCTAACATAAAGTGATCAATAAAAGCCACATAAACTAATTAAAAATGCAACATGTTTTTGGCAGAAATGTCAGTAACAATTTACTTCAGGCCATGTTTTTAGCAATTTATAAACACATTCATAATGTATTATAAACATGGCTATAAATATTTATGAAGGCATAACACATTGTAGCCATGTTTATAATGCAGTATGACTGCCTTATAAAGTTGTCATCTATAATGCACTATAGATACCTTTATAATGCAGTACAAAACATCCTTAACATTTATTCCTACCATTGTAATGCTTTACAAAGGTATCTGTACTGCATTTTACAGTGGTACCTCAGTTCTCGAATTCATTAGAACTTGAATTTCTTAAAAGTCGAACCAACCAGTTAAAAAAATTTTTACCTAGAACTCGATCTGAATCTCAGAATTCAAACCATGAACGTCGACCTAACATAACTTGTACACGCGGGGAAATGAGTCACGCGGCACGTCTCTTAGCGGAAACAAAGGGTAACGCTTCAGTCTCAGCCTCGCATTCACTGTGATAGCATCGTGCATACTACACTAGCTGAATATATATGTTTAGACAGTAAAAATACATTTAGACAATGATAGACAGTAACAGTAATTATTATTATATAATAAAATACATTTAAAAATAAAGATTATTTATTCATTATTTTAATATTAATAATAAACCATTAATACGTTTTAATTATAATAATATTGTTGTGCCAAGCTGGACAAAATGGAAACAAAGGCGCAGATGTCAGGGTATCGGGGAATACGGGGTTTAATTACAGGTAAGGCAGGCAAAATTCAGATGGACAATACAATGACCGGACTGGGGAACCAAACTAAAATGCGGATGAAATACAGAGGACTAATGACAACAACCAGAAACGGCTGATCACACGGGGATTCCACACGGGGTTAACGAGGGGGCGTGGCACACGGAAGGAGCGGACGATCGGGGCAGGACACATTGTTTTTTTTTTTTACTATACACATTGTTTGGATACATTTATTCTCTTACTTTACAAATGACTGTTTTGATAAATGTGTTTAGATGTGTTTAGTACAGTATATGCTCTTCTTGTTTTATTCGGTTCATTTTGTGTTTAAATGCGAAAAAAAAAACATATTTAGGTGTAATTTTTTGGGGGCCGGGAACCAATTAATTGGTTTTCCACTATTTCTTATGGGGAAAATTCGATCACAACTCAAACTTTTTTGGATTCGATCCGGAGTCCTGAACGGATTAAATTCGAGTTCTGAGGTACCACTGTATATGACAGCTTCATAAAGCATTCATAATGCATAATACACATGGCTATAATGCTTTATTACAAATATTTATGGCCATGTTTATAATGCTTTATGAATGCTTTATGAATCTCTCGTGTTTGTTGAGAATGTGTTTAGAAATTACTAAAAACATGGCCAAAAAAACCTGTGATGAAAAAGTATTACAGCAAAGTTTCATTACCCTCGCCCGGACTAGGGTCACCGGGGCCCCACCCTGGACCCAGGCCTGGGGGAGGGGCCCGTTGGTGAGCACCTGGTGGCTGCGCTTTGGCCCGTGGGGCCTGGCCGGGCCCAGCCCGAAAGAGGTACACAGGACCATCCCCAGATGGGTCCACCACCTGCAAGGGGAATGTCATGGGTTCGGTGCGATGTGGATTAGGTGGCAGCCAAGGGAGACCATGGTGGACCGATCCCCAGCTGACAAAACTGGCTTTCGGGACATGGAACGACACCTCTCTGGTGGGGAAGGAGCCTGAGCTTGTGCATGAGGCTGAGAGATACTGGCTAGATATAGTCGGGCTCACCTCAACACATAGCTTGGGTTCTGGAACCAATCTCCTGGAGAGGGGCTGGATACTCTTTTCTTCTGGAGTTGCGGTGGGTGAGCAATGCCAGGCTGGGGTAGGGCTACTGGTGGCCCCACAACTCGGTGCATTAACATCGGAGTTTACCCCAGTGAACAAGAGGGCAGTCTCCCTGCACCTTCGAGTCGGGGAGAGGTCTCTGACTGTCATTTGCGCCTATGTGTCGAATGACAGTAAACCTAGCCTTTTTGGACTCCCTGAATGGTGTGCTGGTTAGCGCACCACAAGGGGATTCCATAGTTTTGTTGGAGGGCTTCAACGCTCATGTGGGCAACGACAGTGTGGCCTGGAGGGGGGTGATTGGGAGGAACGGACTCCCTGATCTGAACCCGAGTGGTGTTCTGTTGTTGGACTTCTGTGCAATACATGGTTTGTCCATAATGAACACCATGTTCGAGCATAAGGGTGTCCATAAATGGACACGGTACGAACATACCCCGGGCTACAGGTCGATGATCGATTTTATAATTGTATCAGCTGATCTGCGCCCTTCTGTCTTTGACACTCGGGTGAACAGAGGGGCAGAGCTGTCAACTGATCACCACCTGGTAGTGAGTTGGCTCAGGTGGCAGGGGAGGAAGCCGGTCAGACATGGCACACCCAAGCGTATAGTGAGGGTCTGCTGGGAATGTGGGAATACGGCTGGGGAGAGGGAGGTATGGGTATCTCTGCTGAAGTTGCTAGCCTCGGACCCGGTACCCGGACAAGCGGGTGGTGATGGATGGATGGATGGATGGATAGATAGAAACATGGCCCTAAGGAAAGTGTTACCGAAATGTCTTTTCAAATTGAAACCTGATTATTGGCTTACTGGATAATATCAATGGTGAATAATATAACCCATGACCCTGGGGATGATTTCCACTACTTATATTATAAGCATGTTTATGTTGTGGATTTTGCTTAACACATTGTTCAATGCTAACAGTGCTAAAGTTTAGGCAGGAGTTTGGTGTAATTGGTAGTCTTAGCTGGGGACTATAACACCGCAATCTGGAAGTTGAAACTGCAATTGATTGTTTAGTGCAGACATTTTAAGTATATATATATAATGAAAATAGGTCTTAAAATTTCATCTTATTAACAAGTTGTGTCAATTCTAAAGTCATAACGCTATTATATCTTTGATTGTGTTAATGGATGCAGTACTTTATTACCCAAATGGGAGAATAGTATAAGCATAGATTTTATTAGAAACCTGTAATATTCCTTCCTGGTTGTAAACAACATGATTGTTTAGCTTATGATGTTGCACAGATTCCCACAATTAAGAGCTACTATCAAATCAATCAGAGTTTCACAGGGAGGGTGATGTTACCTAGTTTATTTTGTTTTAAATATTGGCAGACAAGCATACATAGGCTAAAAATATTACAATTTGTAATATTTCTTTATGCTTCTGTTTTTAGAGTCATTTGGCAAATAGGTTTAAGATTTTAGATCCATCACATAGTCCGTTTTAAATTATATTTTGATTCACCTTTTGGGTACGTGATATGTACTTGCGGTATGCACCATTAATTGGCAAGTTTTGTGATTAAAAAAACTAAAATTGTTTAACATCCCTATTTATAATACTATGCCCTCTCTTTTCTTATTACCATCCGTTCATCAAACCTTTTTGAAAGCATTGAAATTGAAATTAAGTTGCTAGTAGTTTTTTTGTTTTAAATGAATAATCTGCACATCACAAGTTAATCTAATAAACAAATATTAAAATATAGATCATTCTCACACACTTTCAAAAAATTAAAAGAATTTAAGAATTTAAAAAAACTGAAGGTGAAATACAGAGTTTGTTTTTTGTCTAGAGCAATTGACATTACCATAACTTTTTAGGTATATTGAAATTGCTGTTTGTTGCTGTGATTTTTAGACTTTTTTAAGTTTCCCCAAGAAGGTAGCCAAAAATCAATATCACATCACTACATAAAATGTTGAATATTTCAACTTTATTGCACATTAAGCAGTTCATTTGTATCGTAAGATGTATATTTGTGTTAAATTTTTTCCTTTTTCACTTTTAAACAAAACATAACTACCGGAGAGGCAAAATCAACAACTATATTGTATAATTTGCATCTGTCTCAAAATTAAAGATAATTAATTTTACAGTAATGAGTTTGTGACTATGACCTATATACTCCCCTTTCTGTTAATTATACGTTAATTTGGGAATTCAGTGTATAAATATTTATGATTGTAAGTTTTAATCTTAGGTGCAATTTAATCATGATTAAAACTGTGTGATTAATTTGTATTTTTAATCGATTCATAGCCCTAATTTAACATTTATCATTTCAGACAATAGATAGCTAGAAAGTAATATGACTGTCTTTGTAAAAACATGCTTCTAAAAATAATTGTGGTCCCTCAGTAACATGATGAATGACTTGTTTTTGAAAACAAATGTGAAAAATGTTTCTTCTAACTAAAAATTGTTAATTTTTTTATGTAATAACCAAACTTCCTTCAGCTATGTACTGGATAAGTACTGGTTAAGATGGATGAATGGAAGGATGATAAAATGGTGGATGGAATAATAAAGTAACAAGTAACATACCAACAAAGTCATTTTGTAAGTTTATTAACTTTTTCTTTGTTTCTGCTTAGCTGTAATTTTAGGTGCACTGCATTTCATTAAGGAAATGTATGCAGATAAAAAAAAATTACAAGCAGTCCCAGGGTTACAAATGTCTGATGTACAGACAAATTGTACTTACAAATGGACTGCCATGAAGCTAATTATATTGAGAATTTGAGTAACAGACACACACCACTTTGTGACCCTCATGAAAACATTGCACAGCTTAAGTGGTTCATCAGCTAGAAGTACAGTAGAGAGGTTAGTTGGTACATTTGGCGGAGCTTAAAGCTCTCCCCCATCTATGACATCATAAGCGGATGTGGGCGTATCCTTTGATCTGATTGGTCGGGGGGGGGGGGTTTGGGCAAATGGTACCATACATGCTTATGCCACGTGTTGCCGATAGGAGGGACATATGGTTTGGGGGTGTTAATGGTTGCCGTTTAAACTTTAATAGAATAAAAATACATTACATGTATTTTATTAATGTGTTATTTTTAATTAAG